TCCTGTTGGGGGGGGGGGAATATTCCGGAGAGAATTCGTGCAATCATCGGATGATTGATTCGGGTCAATAATGACGGTCTGCGCGGCGCCACTTCTTCGGTACACACACAGACATCTAAAACCGTTTATGGTCTGAAGCTCATTTGGAAAGAAAAAAAGATTCGAACATCATCGATTGTAATTACAGAAACAACAATAAATAATTGGAGAAACGAAAAGGTATTAGCATTTCGATGATGCAATAGAAACGGTAAATGCATATTACCTGACATACCTTTTAATTATTTAAATTGAAAACTTTGATGCTGTTAATAAATTGATTTATTACTATTCTAATCACAAGAAAAAATAAAGAAATTTTACAAATTCGAAGAACTGAATCCAAAGTTTTCATACTGTAATGTAAAAAATTACTTATCAAGTAGTTGTTTCAGTGAATAGCTTGGATATTCAAATTTTCAGTAATAAAATACAGTTGTTTGTATTTCATACTTTGAATATTTCAAACTTCATTACACTTTATTTTCCAAGTACTTGTACAAGTATCTTATCTATAGTGAATAGCTTACATATTTAAATATTCAATAAGAAAACAAATATGCAGAAATAATCCTTTATCGTCTGAATATTTCAAGTTACTTGAGAAAATACATGAAAATCATAGCTTTCTTCTCAAGTATTCAAATTTTCTACAGTAATTGTCAAGTACTTGCGCAAGTATTCAAATGTTCAATAAGAAAATACAACATTTACTCGGACTGTTTGGAAACCGGAGTAATCGAAGCCGTACTATACACATGCAATATATAATCCTCCGAATGTGTATTACCGGAACGGACGGAACTCGGCGGTTTTTATTATCGAAAATTTCCTCGAACATGAATTGGAATTCCAGCGGCACGCAATTCGAAATACTTCATGGAAATTTCCTTCTCCCCTTTTCTCTTTTTTTTTTTGAAGAATTCCTTCCTTATTTCCTCCTACGCGCGTCTCGCCGACAAAGTAATAAAAGGAAAACAGACGGAATATTTATAATAATTTGTACATGCATATGCATGCATACATACTTCGATATAACGTATTATTTTTATACAGGATGGCCCAATTGAACTGAAACTTTTCAGAACGCTGTAATTTCTTTATTTAAAATTGGATTTTGTTAAGTTTCCGAACCACTTCTACCACAGATGTACTTATTTTTCGACCACCAAAATAGCATTTCCTAAGACTACTAGCTTCGTTATAAGATGTTATGATTCGAGACACGAAAGATTTATTCACATCAAGGTGTTCCAGAGCTCTAACAATAGTCACTTTTGGTTTTTCACTCAAATCTTGGACTATCACACTATTACGTTTGAATTCCATCGCTGATAACTTTTTTTCCAAAAAACTAAGATCCAAATACTTCTGCAGGCTTGTAAACAATAAAATCAGCTATCATTAGGCGAAATATGGACATGACATTGCCAACGGTTCAAAAGTTATAGCAGTTTTAAGTTGGTTGCAATGACCAATGATCAATGTTTTAATTTAGAATTGAACAGTTGTTAAAAATTTGAACTTATTCATGTAATTTTTGAAATTTCTATTTTTTTTTAGTGTGAACATTTAATTGAATTTATGAGAAGGTAACAGTAATAAGAAATATTATAACAAATATTCAAAAACTGATCGATTCCTAATATGAATTTCTAGAACTTTTTAAATTGAGTTGAAACTTTTCAATATTGATATGAATACTTATGACATCTGGCGACTATGATTTTAAACAAAGACATTGTAGAATACTTACAAAGGGTTTGCAAATTCCCTCCATTCTGATGCAGATTTCCAAATTGTGTGTGTATGTGTAAAAATATGATAATGCGTTTGTATTCAATTTCCAAATATAAATCCGGATTTATGCATGTATTTTTTGGGGATGAATTACATAAACCAGAGACTATGTCTGTTTTTATTTTATATTTTTTTTTTTGCAAACTTTCGTTTCGGGATGAACGTGAGATATTATTCCACCCCATTATTCAACGAGTAACAATATCCATTCCGCATTCGGTCCGTGCACACAATGCATATATTCATCATCAGAGAATCCCAAATGCCTCTTCTCCTCCTCCATTCATCATTCCAACTGCAATTATTTCGCTTCGTGTGTTATTTCGATGCAACCTCAGGAATCAGTTTATATACCTTAAAGCCACTGGTTTATTTAAAGTAGAATATTATTTTGTATACCTTTAAATATTTATCATATTTTCAAGAGAGAATATTTTCAAATTTGCTTATTTTATATGTAGAAATGAGAAAGTTTCTAATTAAAACATCTTCTATTATCGATTTAAAACAAATTTAATACAAAAATAATTCGAAAATTTTAACATCTTCAAAGATCAAAGAAATTTAAGAAAATGAATAATTGCATCTTCGATTGATTACAAAGTAAGCTTAGAAATCTTTACTATTTTCTTAAATCAATACTCAGAATTTTTGATATAGAAATCAAATGCCTAAAATATAAGATTGTAGTGAAACAAATCAAGACTTTTCAGCATTTTCATTGAAATCTTATAAAACATTCAGTTGACTAATTCATTATGAACAATTAATTTCACCAGGATCTTTATTTAATAATTGTATGATTGATTAACTAAGTCATTTCTTAAGTTTTTGTTAAATTTTAAAAAAAAAATTCGATTTGTTTGAATCATTTAGTAAAAGAAAACATGTTAATTTTGTGCCTGACGTTCAAAATTCTTACATTTTACATAATTTGATAATAAGAAATGTCTATATTTACAAAATATCTAGTTGATATTTAATGAATAATTCAATTTGTTGAGTATTGTAAAAGTAGTTTTTTAACTTTATGAGGTTTGTGGTTGATGTGAAGCTGAAAGTGAGGGCGATGTGCGTGTGTTTGCTGTGAAAACTTACAGGTTACAGGAATTGAATTATGAGGCACGCATTAAATGCGGGGTGCCGGTGATAGATACAAAGCATCGATTAACTATAAATAACGACACACGTACGTTGACACAGGGTTGACACCAACCCTCGCCACGATCCAAACTACAACATTACAGAATTTCCTAATTATCATCGCAGCTTAACAATGCGAAAACTTTCCTTATTTACTCTCTTTTTTTGCTCTCCGACTCTCAGTCGATGTAAGGAAACGTTTTCCGAGCCGCCACTCCCTGTATAAGGACGTATCCTGCTTAGAATTACAAATTCGACACGAGAAAAATATATTATACCACGCCGAGATTCTTTTCAACCTTCTTTCTTCTCCTCGTCTTTTTTGTGTTTGTGTCTGTGTGTGCTACTCCCCACTGTCTATCCAATACAAATCCAATATGTTCCGAGCACTTTTTTACCCTTATTTATCGCTCTTATCCATTGGACACATCCTGCGAATGTAATCGACGATTCAGAACATCTTTATATAGATACACACACAGACAAGAAAACTTCTTCAAACATTTTCAATTACATTATCATTCCCAATCGTATCAATCAAATCTTGTGTCTTCTACTTAACATAAATTCAGTATTCAAAACAAATCATTAATATATTTGTACAAATGACAAAAAATCCAGATTTTCACTACCAATTTCTTACCTTAATTCCATGTAAAATAATGCTCTTTCTTCTCATTGATATCTAAAAGTACGTTTAAAGAAATGTTTTGATAGAACGTGTTCAATTCATGTAATATTTTCTCGTTTTCATTGAGGACTTTCATCGTTATTACGACGAAATTCTCAGCCACCGGGAAACATCTTATGCTGTCGAAGATAAAAAAAAGAATGAAATAGGGAAAGCGACTGCTAATCCTTAAGGAAAGATTGGGAGAATTTCGCGTTTTAAGCATGCTCGTAAACGTTTTACTACGTACATCTCGTATAATGCTCGTATAAAATTTGTAGTGGATTCTACAACAATGTTGAGAACGTCAGTGAATGATTAATTTGAATGGTGGAACGGTTGATGATCTGCTGAAATGTGTTTTTAAATAAACAATTTTCGCTGCAACATCTGATTTGAACTTGTATAAATAAGATGACTTTATTCATTGATCGAGGAGACAATTTTACTTGAAAATCTGATAAGTTGAAGAAGTTAACGTTTGTTTTTTTCCCACTGATTTAAGAGAGAATTGTAACAGCTGTTACTTCATTTCATCTCAAGATTGAAAAAGTATCGTTTATTCACTTTTTGTTGTTAATTATTATATATGAGCGGATGACATGTGATGAAATATGCATGGGGTTCGCATGAAATGACATCATCATTGAACACGATCCAAATCCACTTTTATCTGCGATCTAAACTACATACACACACAGAGAGAAAGAGAGAGAGAGAGAATGGAATTAATTACGATTTTTGTTATCCCTGGACGTGGGATTAAGGATTAAACGTGAATGTATATATAAGGTAAAAAAAAAGGTAGAATGTGCAGAGTGTGTTTGTGTTTATATATATATATATGGAGTTAAGAAGTCAACGGTTTTTAGTGTGTGCGATTGGTATCGTATCTCTTGAGTCTACGAGTTACGACCTAAACCGTTCCACGCTTGTCTCGTAAACTCTGCAATCTCATATTACCAATAAAGTTATTATTGCACACATCGAGGAGATGCTTGATTTTCCACCATGGGTGGGTCTGCTCTTTCCATCCATGTTCATACTAGAGTATCTCACTCGTAACTATTCGTAATATTGTTGTACATGCATTTGGGAAGTAAAAAGTTTACTTGTTTGTTCCATTCCACTCGTTTATTGCAGTATATGATGATGCATCATTGCGTATTCGGGCTTATTGGAGTTAGATAACAACTCTTTAGCGGCAGACACAAATATTTAGCTTCAATTAATCGCCCAGATAACAAACAACAATCACTCAAATCCGACAACAACAACAACAACAATTTCAATATTTCAATCAATTAATTGATGTTCTCCTTTTCGATTGCTTCAGGCCGGAGTTCTCGAGATGACTTGGGTGATGGCAGATTTCACTGCGAGCAATGCCCAAGAGCTGAGCGTCAGCAAGGGGCAGCAAGTCGAGGTCGTCGAAGTCTGCTCATCCAGACCGGATTACTGCTTGGTACGTATGCCCACGAGAGGCACGGATCACGACTCTTCCGCAGTACCGGAAGGTTTGGTACCCTTGGCTGTCCTCAAGCAACCACCGCAAACCAGAAGCTCACCATCCAGAAGACCACTGTTGGACCACGATCTCGGTAAGTTCAATTTCTACTTTTCATCAAACGCTCCTTTCGACTCACCAAGTGGTCAAACAAATTAAAAACTTGAATGGATCAAAATGAATTAACTTTAATACGACAAAATAAATAATTATTATCAATATTGAATAATGCACGAAACATTTCAAATTTGCAAATTTTATGTTAATTAAATACTGGACACATTTCCATCGTTGTCCATTTCTCTCGTTAATCTATTTATTAATTTTATGCGTTCAATTACCGAAACTAATTCGATTTCAGTTTTCGATGAAATAATTATTTTGAAAAGCGGTTTTTTTTGGTTGCTCATCCAGTCAGGATTATTAATGAAAATTGATATGAAAGTTCAAAATGCTGTTGATTCACTGCAACTGCACTTTTTTTTTTTGTTGTTATTATTGTTGTTGTGTATAATTGGAAAGAGTATCCAATTTATTTTAAAATTTAAATAATATCCAGTTACTCGATACCTTTTTTTATATATATATTTTAATTAAACGTAAATGGAATAAGCGTGTTCGTGCATTTCTTTTTTATATCTGTTTGATGAAATGAGAGCAGATTTTTTTAATATGAAACGTTCATTGAATAATGGAAGAATCGTATTCGAATTACGCATATTAGAATTACAAAATTAGTATTAGTATTCTAATTTTTACTAGAATTGGATCTTTACTAGAACTACTTCAACTGTTTTTATGTTTTTGTTTAGCAAACATGCGTTTGTCTATTAAAATTATCCGAGTTGGCGTAGAGAATATAAACAGTTCGAAATAAACGGTGCAGTTTGAATATGAAAGGAATGGGAAAACGTTTTTAATGTTGCGGACGGACGACAAATTTGAAATCATTGTGTACGCGTCTAGTTTTCAATTTAAAATAACTTTTAGTTATTTTGCGAGGAAATTACGTATTGAAAGATGTCGGAAATGTAATTCAATTTTTGAAGGCGGCGAAAACAAGTTTGCGTTCGCAAACTAACTGATGAAAACTTTTGTAGAGCATTTTCCGTTCGATTTGGTTTTGCGGTTTTCTCATACTCGCTCAGCGTGAGTGCGGATTTTCGTTAGTTTTCCACTGGAATATGAGAATAGGAGTCGATGTATGATCGTAGTATTTTTGGTGGTGTCCACGTGCGCGGCGCGTCGGTGGAGGTCCTTTTCGGTGGAGCAGGAGTAGCAGCAGCAGCAGCAGCAGCGTCAGGATCAATAGATTCGTCGTTCTGCTCTGACCTTGACCCGACCTCCCCGCAGCAGAAAACCAGCATCCTATCCTCCTCATCCTTCTCATCCTTCTCCACTCCACCTCTTTGCGAATGTGCACGGCCCGCCGGGATACACGACTCCACCGCCGCCGCCTCCCACGATACGCGCAAAACCCATCCTAACCAGATCCACCCCAAGAAGCAAGCAAGAAAAACAAAACAGTAACCTTACTCAACAACTATCCTTGTACGTTTTTTTTTTTTTTGTTCACCGCTTGATCATCATCATCAGGTCGAGGACGCGCAAATACTCGATTATTTAACGCGTCTATATTAGGAATAATAAACGCTTTGTAAAGCGGAGGATCCTTTGTGCCAACACCTTCGATTATCGCTGAAAATTTTAGACATATCCATGCTCTAACGTCTGCTGTTCCTTCTGCGATGCATGTTCTATTAATTAGTCATCCTTTGTCTCGACTAGACACGTTCCATCTTATTGGCAAAATGTTATTATCAATAATTTGCGATATGCAAATTTCGGTCCTTGTTCAATTGAACTTGCATCTAATTTTCATTATCATTTAATTTAATCAATTTACAACAAAAAAATACACAATAAAGTTTATTGAAATCTGGTAGAAACTAATATTCTTATCGGTGGTTAATGTATTACTAATAACTTCGAACTGCAATACAAAAAAAGACAATGCAAAAATGACGAATGATGGAGATTGGAAGAAATGAATCATCAATTATTGAAAAATTGGTAAAGAAATGAGTAAATGGTGAATCGATTCTTATAAATCAATTTTCATTTGAAGAAATCGAAAGAATTTGATTATTTCTTCATCAATTTCTCAGTATAAAAACCAAATTTATACTTAATTCGATAACTAGATGATGATTTAATATTTATATACAAATACGTTTTTTTTGGAAAACTGGGAGAGAAAAAAATATAAAAGAAATTACGTGAATTGATGTTTGTATGAGATTTGATCAAGTAAATAGGAAGAACAAACACAACTCCAAAAGAGAATAAATATATAAAGTGTGAGGTTTTTTCTTTTCTTCCTTCTTTCTGGAGGCGTGCAAAGCTATAAAAGTTATTGTTTGCATGGGTTGATTAAGAAGGCCTGAAATATACTTTCTCGCGTTGGAAATGACGACGCGACAACAAGTAGCCAGAATGTTAAACGTTTGTTACGTACTAGCTCTACTAGCATTGCGTACATTGAATACGCGTTAGATGAAGAGAGAAAACAAATAAATGGATGAGATTGGAGAGAAAGAGAGAGAGAGATTGGAATCGCTTAATATTATTAGACTGTAAGATGCCAAGAAGACGCTCAATGAAATATCAGAAACAGTGTGGCTTTTGTTTATGAATTCCTGGATGGAAGCCAGAACGGATTTGCTGCTGCTGCTGTGCAATGGAACGAATTCCAAAACGAATATTTATATTTGAAAAACATAACGAGAACAAACGTGTTAATTAATTAGTTTTTTTTGTTTTGTTGAAAGGATGTTTTTCATTTGATATTGGTTGAGGTGGAGGCGCCGCAAATTGTCATGTCCAACGTGTGTGTGATGTGGTGTGGACATTGCTTTATAAACCGCAAATGCCAACTCAATTATACGGCCATCAATAACGTTTGTGCTGATGGGATGGGTGGGAAATGTGCGAATTTATCATAGAAATCGTCGATCAAATTGGCGATGATTTTATTATCATAAATAATTCGGAGAGTTCTTCCTCTACCCAAAAAATCGAACTGTCTGTGTGTGTGTATATATATATTATTTCCTCTCGATAAAATTGGGTCACCTAATTCGACTACGTGACGATGAAATTTACAGATTTTATTTCAAAAAAAAAAGTCTAAAATGTTTATTTTTACGCTTTGAACAAAAAAAAAACCCAAGATGGAAATAATAACTTCGTGTTATGCAATTTGGCGAGGAAAGTGTGCAATAATGAAGGTGAAAGAGAGAGAGAGAGAGATGAGTGGGTTAAATTTACAGAGCGAATAAAAATGAAAAGTTCGGTGCAGTATGATGATGCCAAGTGGAAATGATGGTCGGACGGGATAAAATAGCGACCGCCTCCGATTGTACATCCTGTTTACCGGTAGATGAAAGCTTTAGCTAACAAGCAAATACAACATAAATTTAAAAAAAAATAAGAGTAGTGAGTGGGTGAGAGTATGCAAGGAATCCACGTTCAGTATTCTCACTTTACGCATTCCTTTCTTTTATAAAGATTGGAGTAAATATAAATTTGCAAATGCAAGATTTTTTTCTAATAATTGAAAATGGGCATCATCTAGTTATCTAATTAAGTATAAGTTGGAGTTTTTATACACAAAAGTGCATCATTTTTATATAGAAACTGATGGATAAAATTTCAGAAATAAAAAATTCGGCAAAATTATCATTAAAAAATATGTATTTTAACATATGGAAAAATATGATAAAGTATGGATTTGACTCAAATTTCAATCAAACTACATTTCGACTTCAGAAATAATTTGGTCTAGTGGTTTACTTATTATAAATCGAATATATTTCTAAGTATACAGAACGGAAATTCTTATCAAATTCTTTGCAAATATTTCCAATTTTCCTAAGACCTTCAATCATCGAAAGATATCAATCATTGATATAAACTATAGTGCTCAAGTAGACCAGACACATTAAGTTTGTCAAGTTACTTGCAAAGTCCGAACAGTGTATTTTTAATGGAATACGGCTGCAAATATTTACAATTCTTATAGCATCTTTAATCACTGAATGACACGAATCAATCAATGGTAGAAAACTGTAGTAGTTAAGTAGACCAGAGACATTAAGTTTGTTAAGTAACTTGCAAAGTGTAAACAGTGGATTTTTATGAGAATCCGACTTCAATCACGACACCTATTAATTATAGTAAACAATATCAATCAAGTAGGCCAGCCACATTAAGTTTGTCAAGTCTACTTGTAAAGTCCGAATAGCGTATCTTTATGGAAATATTTTTGCAAAGATTTGCAATTCTCAAAGGACATTCAATCAAATCAACGATAGTAAGTTTTAGTAATTAAGTTTGTCAAGTAACTTGTAAAGTTCGAACAGAGTATTTCTAATTTAATATGGCTGCAAATATTTGCAATTCTTACAGCATCTTCTATCACTGAATGACACAAATCGATGATAGAAAACTGCAGTAGTCAAGTTGACCAGACACATTAAATTTGTTAAGTAACTTGCAAAGTCTAAACAGTAGTAAACAATATCAATCAAGTAGACCAGCCACATTAAGTTTGTCAAGTCTACTTATAAAGTCCGAATAACGTATCTTTATGGAAATACTTTTGCAACGTTTTGCAATTCTCAGAGGACATTCAATCAAATCAACGATAGTAAGTTTTAGTAATTAAGTTTGTCAAGTAACTTGCAAAGTCTGAACGGAGTATTTTTTAATGGAATTACGGCATCTTCAATCACTGAATGACACGAATCAATGGTAGAAAACTGTAGTAGTCAAGTAGACCAGATACATTAAGTTTGTCAAGTAACTTGTAAAATTCGAATTTTGAATGGAATACGGCTTGCAATTCTCAAAGGAAATTCAATCAACTCAAAGATAGTAAACATTAGTAATTAAATAGATCAGACACATTAAATTTGTCGAGTATGTGAGAATGAGAATGCAGCTGCAAATAACTGCAATTCTCACGGGACAATCAACGATCGACGATAAATCAAGAACACTCAGACAGTGGACAATAAATAAATCTTTTCA